ATATCATTCAGTATGCAAAACGATGTCATGTGATGAAAACTCATTCGAGCATAACAAAGGACAAGCAGTTATGAAGTCAGAATGAAAACAGTCTACTTCATGCATAAAAGTTCAATCTGAATCAATGATGGAAGGTTTTCCTTTCTTCTGTGGTTGAGGCCGAGACTTCTAGTTGTCTTTGGAGAAGGAATTTGAAGGTGCAGCCGGTGTAATTCTGCGATGGATTTCTTTTGAGTTGTGAAACTCCTTCGAGTCCACGACGTCCACTGGATAGTTTTTCTCTTTCAAATACCCGTTCAATGGTACTCTAGGGATTCCAGCTCGTTGTCATCTCCGTTTCTTTTTGTGAACTTGGCGTAGAACTCAATACTCAAGACCTTGTCAAGTTCTTGCGGTGCCATTTATTTCAAGGTATTTTCAAGATGGCGGGACTACCACCAGCTTCGTAACTTGTTCATTCATTCACTGTTTTGTAGTTTTGACTGTTGTTTATTTACAGCAACAGAGTTGAGCTCTTGTGTTGCTTCATTTGAAACTACCGGTAACCTGGAAACATCTACCTTTTTGAGGTGGCTCTCAATTTGTTGTTGTGTGGTTTTCGTTTCTTTATGTTTTACTGGACTCAGTATTATACGGATCTTGAGCAGATGTTGAAGAAAAAATCGCCAAAATATTCGTCTAAAAGGACACTGAAAGTTGGAAACTTCCATTAAAGTAGGTCTTTAACCTAAAGGAGCTTATATAATTGTCATTCAGAAACTGTAATTAGTTAAATTCGTCGATTTTTTGGGAAAAACAACAATAACACAGGTTGGCAAATATGGTACTAGCAAAATTCAACACACAATGGCTTTTTGCCCTCCCTTTTGCTAAAATTTTATTGATTACCTTAAACTAACCTTGAAATCTGACTGCTTGTTTTGTTTTACTGTCCCATTCTCATTGGCTGAGAAAAAGATGCGATTTGGAGGGGAAAAAGTGCAATTCGTGAGTAAATCGCACCACTGAGAGCCAATCAGATTGCAAGGATGACCAGTGATTTCAAAATAGATTTAATAAGGGTAAAAACAGTATGGATCGCATCTCCAGGATGTACAAATTAGCTATGAAATAGTATCTAATACGCATGTGCACCAGCTGACTGTGTCCCTTTAATGTTAATGCTTGTATTAAAAAAAAAAAGTAATTTTGAACAAAATGAGGTTGGAGGGAATAAAAAAAAAAAATCAAACTTTTGCCAAATTTCAATTTTAAGCTTTTACTTGCCTTTTGTACCTGTTTTGTACATAATTATAGTAATTTACTTCCTTTCACTGACAGCCTTTACAATCTGTCTTGTTCCTGTTGATGAACATTTACATTGCAAGCCTGACTTTCCAGCTCTTATTTCATTGAGTTAAGTCTTGGTGTGTTATTTGTGTCTTTATTTGTTTCATGTAGGTATGATGACTACCGTCGTGACTATCGAGGATATGACTATGGACCTCCAAGACGGGGTCCGTATGAGCGACCCCCACCTCGAACTTACTATGACCCCTATATGGACCGACGCCCTGCTCCTAGCAGAGACTATTATGGCTATGGTGGCTATTCATACAGAAGCCGAAGTCCTGGAAGATCTCCCCCTAGGTATATGTGCTGAAAACAAATTGCCTTTTTTCATTTGTAAGCAAATTGTACATGTATGCACAGTGGGACTTGTATCTGTAGGTACCAGCC